GCTAATACACTGGACGTGCAATTTCATTTGAATTTCAGAGAAACAGATCGCTTTTAGTATAAGTGATCTATGATTCAAGTATTGTGTGGGATATACGAAAATGATTATTCCTTCTTTATCTGAAATTCCGATGTGATTGAATGACCCGTACTGTATGTTTATTTGCTAAATTGGGCAACCCTACCCTTAGGTCTTGCCTCTCTCTCGCTCATACCCCCAGAAGACACTGCGTCTGAGCAACAGAAGGCAGGACCGGAGGAGACTAAAGCTCATGCTATTGGGAGTTGGGAGATGTTTTACAAAATCATTGTCAGTATGGTTTCCCCCTATCTGCTCGTTCCTCAGGAGAGTCTGCAATCTGAAAACAACAGACTTGGCACTGAACAAAGAGCTGGCATATTGCAGGACTGCTGGAGGGGAAAATAACCGAATTTAGAATAATAACATATTTGTTCAAGCAAATACCAGTATACATAAAAGAAAGAAGCCCTCAAGTTTCCCAGCATGAGGAGCACGTTCATGTCTGTGCCCCAGATTGAGGGCAAGCATTTCCTTAGGAAGTACAGTGGCCGTATGTGATCTTTCTCTTTTTGTTTAATTCTTTTTAACACTGAATGTAGCTCACAGTAACTTGTTCAACATTTACTTTGTGCTTGAAATGTAGGCCATTGGCTCTGCTCACATCTAACATTTTACAAGCCTCTCCCCCATTGGACACAATTAAGTTCAGAGGTCATGTTCATATAAAAAAAATAATTAGATGATCACAGCCAATGGGCATAGCAATTATTCTGGATATTTTAATATATAAGTGAATAATTTTTATTTAGAAAAACACCCCTGACCAAATTCCATCAAATCGAATTTTCCCAGAGAGTTAAGTTCATATTCTCGTAGCTTTTCCCCTGCATAACTGAGGATAATTTTTAGCAAGAGCTTCAATAATCTTCCTTCTGAATGAATAATTTTGTGATTTCATGCATCTCTCCTTGAAGTAAATGAGAAATGAAGTTGTGAGAAGTGCTACCCAGAATGGTTAGTTTTCTTTCCCCTTTTCGACCTAATAACAAGAGAACATTTTCTCTTTGGATTCTTTGATAGTGTTGTTTTTTTTTCCTAGAAGCCAGCAGAGTATTCACAATAACCCTTTAACTGAAATTAGTCTTAAGCCTCATAAGTTATATGTGCAGGAGCCCCCTGAGGTGGGAAAATTTGAACAATTTCACTTAGAGAAATTTAGGATCCCATTTACAGATAAGCCAGGTTGTGGGATTTCTGGTTTTCCTGGTGATCAAGTGTCACTGGGAACCATGTATAATGGAGAGATTCTACAGTTTTATACTTAGTGAGCACCTACTATGTGCCAGACACGGATTAAAGCCCACAGCCTGGCGAACTCGTCACCCGGGTGCTACTGGAGAAGGAACTGTCACCCAAACCCACCCTAAGCAACCATAGGCAAGACTATTTTCCCTTTTCTCCAACATTTTTGAATATTTAAATGTCTTATATTGCAAGCTCCAATGAGGTAAACACTCAAGGTATGAACTACAATATACCAAGGAGATTTGATAAATTATTAAATATTGGGGCAATAAGGGCTTTACTGTCCTTGGGTAGAAGGGAAAACAGGTTGGAAAGCCGTTTCCCTGCTGTAAAGCCTAGTAGCTTATGCTGCCATCTCCTTACCTCCACGCTTCATCTTGCATCTTATTTTTCAATTACTTCCTAATCTTTATAGCTTTTGTTGGCATCTTGTGTCTTTGTAGAGAAACAAGGAACCTATTTGTTTAAACTGAAACTGAGACTACCTGGGAGTCCCACGTTTTCTTCTTTCTGTTTGTGCTTAGTTTCAGGCAGAGCTGCTTGGCTGCCCCCCTTCCTCCTCAGCTATTTGACCCCTAAAATCTTTCCTCCCATGTTTGGGCCCCTCAAGGCATTTTCTATTTAGTTTTAAAAGTCTGTATGTAGGCATGTATCCATTTATGTATCTATAGGTATCTATATATTTCTGAATGAAAGCACAGTTTTATAGGTAGAAATTGTGCACACGTAGATGTATGTAAGTGGTTATGGGTACAGATAGATAGATAGACACCTACTGCCAGTCGTGAGTAACTATCAACCCAAACTGAGCTGGGTTTTGGACAGCCATTTTCTCAACACAGTTCTTAGTGTTTCCAGCAACCTGAAAGCCTGTCCTTGTCACCTGCAGCCCCTGTGCACGTGGCAAACAGTTTATGAAAGGCAAACCTAACCAGACCCTCTTCATTCGTTTAAAAAAGAGAAAGCAGAAAGCTTCGACAATATGCATGTGGATGGAAAGAAATTCGGTTGCTCTGTGACGCTGGTGCCCTTTGTGTTAGCTGCAGTGACCTCTGACCCTGCTCCATCTGAAGATGACCAGGACTGGACCTTCGGCCGTGTGGAAGGCATGCACTAAACAAAATCGATAAGGTAATGTTTGAAGACTGTTAGGATATACTAATTATGCAGGTAATTCATTATTTTGTAAACATCAATAGCATGCTTTTCTGGAAAAAAAATCATTATTCAGACAGAAGTGTTCCTTTTAGAAACATGACACAAGAGGACAATAAACATCCAAAATTTTAGAATCTACTAAAATCACCAACATCATTGGACTCACAGCTGCTTCTGCATTTGACGTTCTGATCTCGCGCAAGTGTTTGCCAGCCATCAGTGAATATGCATTACTCTTGCTTTTAATAAAACAGTCTTGACAGGTCTTCGAGAGGTTTTAAATATTGAGGAACTTTAAATGTATATATATATATATTTATATATATTTGGCTTATTGATATACTTTAATTTTTTGTAAAATAAATGCAATACATGTTACTTCTATCAGATTTCTTTTTGAAACAAAGGAATACACTTTGGGAACCACAGCATTTCAGGGCTCACTTACTCCAAGTTTCCCTGGCCACCCTCCTTCCCCCCACCATTTCTTAATAACAAAATATATGGCCAAGCACTCCTTGGAGCAGAATATTTATATGGTCTTTAGTAGTTTGCTTTCCCCAGTCATGCTCTGGAAGTGGAGAGAGAGGTCGGAGGTGTCGGGACGGTTTTCGCCTCTCCTGGAGAGGGGGCGGCAGCTCAGCCACGCTCAGTGCATCGTCAAAGTTACCAGGAACCTCTTTTTTTTTTTTGAGGACAACTCCAACCAAACTAAACTCCTGACTTCTACTCAGCGAGGAGGCTTTAGGCTCGATGTCTGCGACCCTGGGGAAACGCAGAGTCATGCCGTTCACTCCTTATGGAAATCAAGGGTGCCCCTGCTCTCTTCAAAGGCAACTTCGACCTTCTTGGTTTCACTCACATTGGGAACAACGCCCTAAAATATACACGCTTTTCAGGATCAAGTTATTAGATAGTATTTTGATAATGATTAGAATTAGTCTGCCACTGGCTATTATTAGCACTGACTGACAGACAATCAATGATTATTTTAGTAGCAGCATGAGAAACCTCACAACATTTTTAAGCGCCCTTTGTAAGCAGCATTTACAGTTGTGACTTTGTAGAAGTTATCATCATCAACCCAGTTCTCAACAGCACGATCTAGTAACGGATGCGCCTCTGACCGCCAAACTCATTTTTATTGCCAGTCTCGTTTGGGCGAGTACAAAGCTGATAAGCCATGCCTCTGTTATCCTGACCCTGTCGGTAAGAGACAAATCAGATTAGGCGCCACCAGAGGAAATAAATCGTCAGGCTAGGTGTGATAGAGACAGACTCATTTCGTTCGCTGAAGTCCCGTCCTCGGAGTGACAGGTGGAAGACAGAATGTCAAGAAGGAGTCCTGTGGGAGCGATTGCTTGCTTAGGATGGCGTTTAATACAGCAGAGAGCCAGGGTACAGTAGGAGGGCACAGGGAAGAACGTGGGGTGCGCAGACACAATTAGGGAGCACGGCTGGTGGCCTGCCATCTGCGATTGGAAAGAGAAGTGAGCGAGGGAGATCTAGGACTGTCCGTTCTCCATACATGCAAAGGTGAGTTAGTTATTACAAAAGTTTTGCCATTTTTATGTGCTGAAAGAAAAGCATTATGCATTTCAACATTTTTTTTAAAAAATAAATCACTCAATAGGCTTAAGAAAAATACTCTACTTCAATATTCCATTGATCTGACCTTTTGATTCAAGATCAGGGAATGAATCCAGGATGAAAACCAAAGCACAAAACAGAAATGAATCATTTACCATGAAAAAAAAGGCATTTCCAGTCTCAGCTAACCTCGACGAGTTTTTATTGCATTAGTTTTGAAATGCCAAGAGACGGGCTTTGGCCATAATATTTGCTGCCCAACTAAATCACACCTGTCAATCGGCAATTGCTTGCAGTGATTAGCTAAACACCATCATTTGACAAATTCCCTGGAAAGGTGCGTCAATGCTCTTGACGTCTGACACGCACGGAGTTCACGGTCACGCTGGGGCCGCAGCCCAGGGAGAGAAGCTGGTAAATCCCGGCCCCAGCAAGGGGTCTCAAACACCCTTAATTTTTTTGAAGTACACACGCCTGTCCTGATCTTACGAGTCCTTTCTGGTGTTCAGGAATGAACTGTGGGACTGGCCACAGAGAAGGGGGAAAAGCCACCGACTCCAGCTTCGTTTTGCAAGAAGCTCGAGGAGAGAGGAAGAAAACGCGAAATGGAAACGTGGGATGGTAATGGTTTACAACACAGAGAAAGAGAAACACCATGGAACCTGCTAGCAACTTCCACCGGAGCAGTAAACCCCTTCACTGACAGCAACTCAGTACAATACACACATCCAGTAACAACGCCACCATGACTAGGGCTGCCGTTCAAAGCCAGACAGATTAACTACAGTATTCACAAACAGAATTCTCAAAGATATCTGAGGGGAAAAAAAAAATAGAGCGAAAAGGCAATGTTAGCTAAGCTGGTAGCTAAGTCCACCCTGAATGGCCCCCAGTATTTAAACGATCATGGATTAAAGCCATGAAAATAAAAATTTCAATTTGAAATTTTATTAGCATGTTGCTAAACTGGTCAATAAAAACATCAACATGATAGGCCTTGTTGACATAGTTGGGGAACTGCCCCCACCCCCCGTTTTTAAAACTTTATTTCCACTTCCCCACCTTCAAAGATTTCTATGTTAGGAAAAGCCAAACTAAATATACTGGCTATGGTTCTATACTAGTGCTGGTTTCTGGAATGTTGCCATAGCTTCCCCCTCCCTCTCCTCCGACCCCGTTAGAAATGTGATTATTTTTTGAAATGCAGCCCAAGGAGGGAGCAATTAGGGTTAAGAACAACAAGTGCCCTTCTCCACAAATTCAAGTTTCCAGAGACCAGGGCAACCCTCTCCAAGGCGGGGGCAGGGCCCCAGCTCCTCACCCAATTAGCTGTGCCATTTTCCTCCCGGAGGGGGAGGATTCCCTTGTGCCGGGGAGGTAGAGGGTGGCGTTCTCCCCTGGCTGGAAAGAAGGGGAAGCAGACACTATCTAGCTTAGCCTGGAGCCTGGGATACAGCGTCGGGAGACCCGGGGCTGGAGAGCTGGAGCAGTCGTGGGCAGCCTTGGGATCACCGGGAGGGCCAAGGTGCTCGCTTGTGGGATGAGTCACAAGTGCCTAAGGGACAGGCTCGATTTCTTGGAAATCCTGCAGTCTGGGGACAGATCCACACAGGGGCTGAGCTGTGCCCTGAAGATACCCATTCTCACCTCAGACCCGCCTTTGTGTGCGCGCCGGGGGTTGGTGAAGGTGACTTTCTCGTGCGGGGCGGGAGTCTCGGGGCATCGACTCGCGACTCGCGGGGAGAGCCGAGCCCCTGCTCCCTTCAGCCCATCCTCCTTTCCCTCCAATAACTCGCTGGGTTTTCCCCACAGGATTACCGCCCCCTGGGGGTCGCAGCCCGGCGCAAACAGCTGCCCTTTCAGCCCCAGCCCCGAGGCCAGTTCCTGAGACTTCCTGCCACTTGCTGAAGGGGTGCTGGGGTGCAGCTGGGCACTGGCCCCCCGCTGCGGCGGCCGCTGGCGAGGGGACTAGGGGAGTGAATTGTCAGCGGGGGACCCCGGTGCTGGGAAGGGAGTGGGGCACTCGGGGAGACAGGAGGGGCGGGTGGCGCCCCCACGCTACTCCTTGTCTTCCACTAGGTCAGCGAGCTCCTGGAGCACTCTCAGGCGGCCGCTGGCGTCAATGCGGCGCTTCTCGCGGATGAGGTCTTCCAGGCTGTGAAACCTGGCCGTGTGCACCTTGTTGTCTCCCAGGTGCACCTTGAGATAGTACTGCTGCTGCGGAGGCTGCGTCCCAGCCGGCACCTCCCCTCCCGCCTTGAACTCCCGCTTGCCAAAGCGGCACCAGGCGGCGAAGCTCTCCGAGTTCGTCCAGCAGATCTCCTCGCTCTTGAGGCCCAGGTGGCCGCAGGCGTTCTGCACCACCAGCTCGGCCACCAGCGGGCGGTAGCGGTACCAGCTATTCACCACGCGGCCCACGTTGGCCGCGCCCGCCTCGTACAGGCTGTCCTGACGGATCTCGCCTTGGTGCAGGTGGATGATCTGCCCGCCGCCCACGTAGACGGCCCAGTGCGGGGCGGGCGCCGGCGGCTCGGGCTCCTCCGGCTGCAGCCACAGCAGCTCCAGCAGGTCGCCCGGCTCGCACAGTGCGGGCAGGGAGGTGACCGCGCAGACGCTCAGGTCGGCGCCCTGAGGGCCACCGCTCACTTTGGAAAAGATGCATTCCTGGCCCCGAAAGGCGGAGAACTGGATTTCGTTAAGGACCAGCTGGTGCAGCAGGTGGTGGTGGTGGTGATGGTGGCGGCCGGGGCTCTCTGGGCAGGGCGTGCAGCCCGGGGAGGCCTTCACACCAAACTTGTCGGGCTGGCCGCGTTCGTCCAGGTCCTCCTCCTCATCCGAGAAGAAGTAGGCGACCCCGACCCGCAGCTCGTCCTTCTCGATCCCAGACGGGTCCCCGGTGGGCAGCTCGCTGTAGTTGAGGTGGGTGATGCGGTCCAGTTGGTTGCCCATCAATGACGCGGCGAGGCAAGGGCCAGGAGCGGGGATCTGCGGAATCAGAGGAAAGGCAGAGACACGACCCCAGTCAGGCTGCCCCTCCCGGGGACGTGTGGTGGTCCCGGGACCCGCCCGCCCGCTCGCCCGCCCGCGAGACCTCCCTGGAGTCACCTCGCCGGCCGACTTTCCCGTGCCTCCCCCGGGGCAGGGCGAGAAAAGAAGCCACCTGTCCGTCCCACAAGCGAGAGCGGACGCCACCACACGGCCTCGCCACGGACCCCTCCCGCGGACCCGCTCCAACTCCCACAAGAGAAAAGGCAGGCCGGCTAGAGGGCGTGCGGGATCCCACGGGGGAGGACGGCACGGGTCGTGGCCGCGTGGGAGACCGACTCCCAGGAAAGGGCGGAGGGTCCTTTGGAAGGGGGGAGAGGAGCCTGAGGCCCTGGAGCTCCGAGCAAGCACCGCTCCCATTTCGGTCCCCACCCTCTCCCGCCCACCTCTCAGTTTCACACGAGGTCGCACTCCTTCCCTCACGGCGCCTCGCACAATGGCAATCGGACGCAATCCCAGGCACTCACTGGACACCAGCAACCTTTTGCACACTTGGGGTCTAGACACAGGCTGGTACGCTGGTGCGATAATGTCACACATACACACAATGGCAAGCCTTCGCAAAGGCACGCTCAGGCCCCCACGTTCGTGCAGAATTCCAGCCCCACTCTTGCACACACGCCGATGCACCTACACCCACGCACCCGGGCACACCTGGCCACACAGGCAGGTGCGCTCTGCCCCTTACTTCTCTCGCCTTCCTCTCCCGAACAGAGGCCACCGGGCTGCGCCAAGGCGAGGCTGCTCTGTCTAAAATAACCTAACAAAGAGGCAAGGGAAGGACGGGGGAAGCCAGTGCGGTGCCTGTGTGCGGGAGAGGGTGTGCGTGCGGGCTGTGTAGGAAGGTCCACTTTCAACCCCCACACCCTCTCCCTCCTACCAGGCACAAGGTCCAAACAGTCGAAGAAAAAAACGTCTCCAAGGCAAAGAAAGCCGCCTTTCCGTACCAGTGATTTCCCTGCTCCCGAAACCCCAAACTCCTTTAAAGTCCGCTGGTCCCCATGGGTGCTGCGGAGGCAGTGGTGGCAAGTGGGTCCTGGGCGCCGTGTGGGGCTGCGGCTCCGCTCCGCCCGCGCAGAACCGTGCGGCGCGGCGCTCGGCGAGGTGAGGTGCCGGTGCGTCTGCGTCCAGGCTGGCTGGGGAGCCCGGGCTACCTGCACGGTCCCCGCTGGATTCTGGTTTCCAACGGCTGAGACAACGACTCTAAGTAGCTGGAGTCGCTGGTTCCAGGGCCCGCCCTGGGACGCGTTCATTGGCTGGGGCCGGTGGCCAAGCCCTGTCAATCTCTCTGGGAGGGGAGGTGAGTAGGGGCGGGGTTTCCAGCGCTCGCTCGCCCCTCCGGGCTCAGTCCCCGCGCACCCAGACGCGCGGACACGCGCCTCGCTGCCCCACGGGTGAGGTGTGAGTGCGTTGGGTACCCGGTGAGAGGCGCGGCGCTTCTGCACTGTGCCGCTGCTCTCTGGCACCCGCACCCACGAGCTCCTCCAGGCGGACTGGAACTAAGAGCACCATTGGCCTGTGGTTTGTGTTCCACGAGCAAGGGCTCTGGCAAGGAAGCTGAATCTGGGGATGGAGAAGAAACCCCAGTACACCCCAGGCACTGCAGGCAGCCAGGGGCTGGGAGCAGGACCCACCTGGGGGGTCCTGCTGGGGCACCCAGACCCTGAGTTCCTGAGGGCCCCTGGGCTGGCCCTGGTTCCCTACACCTCTTCCTACGAGGCACGTTCACCTTCTAAATTGTTTCTGGTATGTTAGGCTCATTTCTGTCCGGGCACTGTGCTGGGTTTAAAAGTCTGAGTCCTGGCTAGCCCATTGCCTGACTGAGCCAATGATTTTAGCCTCCAATTTTCTGTCTATGGAAGGGGTGCATCACAAATGCCGCTAGTAGGGGATCCGTGTTGTCTAAGCCCCAGCACTATCTTTATTAAAGGAGTTTCATTTGCTTTTGCGGAGTAGTGTGTCCAGTGGTAATTAATAATTGCATTTCTGGATGGAAAGTTCATGCATGAATATGCCCTGGATACTGGATGCAGAAAGGTAACTTTCACACACGTGAAATTCTAGATTTGCAGTTTTATAAAGCTTATCACATTCAGCTTTCAAGAGTTTGCAGACATCTGCCCTTTCAAGATGGCTCAGCGGCTTTGCTGTGAGGGATACTCTCTGCCCAGAGAGAACAGGGCCCCCTCCTCTTTGTATCCCTTTAGTAGCTGATACACACTCTTAGGTCTCTTACCCTGTTTTATTACAAACCTGTGTTGACTTGATTCCTCTTTGCAAAGTGAACGCTTTGAGGACTGGCTTGTGCGTGACACAGCTTTGCATTCTGGGCCTCTTCACAGTGCGCCGGGGACAACTGATTCCATCGGCAGAAATACACATGGGACCAGTCTACACGGGCTGACCGCAAACAGGGGGCTGGGAGCTCTGCTCAGAGTTGAGGAGTGATTTAGTTTTCATACCTCTGGGGGGATTCACTTTGCAGGATACAAGCTGCCATTCTTGGAACTGATCACTAGTTGTGATGATCTTTTTCTTTTTTCAATACTTGCTGTAAAAAATAAACAAAATTTGGCCCTGAAGTCGAGAGCATTGAGGAAATGGTTTCAAAGATTGAGGAGCGAATCACTGCTCTGGTTCCCACCAGGACTTCGGGAGTCTTGGGGAGGGAGGATCGGAGGAGTTGGTGGCTGGGGTCTGAGAAGAACCCCTTGAAAGCAGCTCTGTGCTTCGCTGTTGAATAGCCCTTAGAAACACCCTCTGTCCATCTCAAGAGCCCATCTGGTGCACATTTACAGTGTGCTTGCTTGGAATGTTGTGTCCTGTCCTACCTGCCCTGTCCTGCACTGTTGCTCCAGGCGACTGAATAAACAGGCTGTTCCTCAACATTCTAAAGGATAATTGCCATAAGATATTTTCTGGACTTCAAAACGCAGTGCCCAAAGTTTACAATGTCATCTTGCAACTTTTTGAATCCCCTTTCCACCCCTTCCCCTGCCTGCCAGAACGAAAGACTTACTGCTTGAGTACTCACGAGGGGGAGCAAATACCCTGAGGACGGCCCCTCCCTTCCTTTGAAATACAAGGTAGAAAACACCTTGACTGAGCACCGGAAAGAGGAGCTACAAGTAAAGGGAGGGAAACACACCTACTCTTTGCCGGCTCTTGGCAATTACAGATTAGACAGCAAGACATAGGCCAGTCAACTGGAAGGGTGGTGATATTAGCAAAACCTAACATTTATTTCCATCACAAAAGTATTGTTTGCTAATCATTTTATTTGTTCTTTCTCACCCCATCCTGCCTGCTTTTGAACTGAAGAGACACAGCCTTGCTAAAAGCAGGATCTATTCATCAAAAGCAAACTCTGGAAGCCAACTAGTTTGAATGCTATTTCAACATTTTTAATGTGGGTAACTCTGGGAAGTTACTTCACCTTTCTGGACGTCAGTTTCTTCATCTGTAAAATGTGGATAAAATACTGTCGATCTCATTGAGTTGTTATAGGTCCATGCATGCAAACAGAGTACATAGTGAGCTTTCAATCAGTGTGACCTGTTATTAGTGTTGGTGGAAGAGGGGAGAGGGGAGAGGGCCCTGTGTTCTACTTGTTATGACAGCTGTGCAGTTCTGCTTCTCCTTTGCCCTAGCTGGGGTGTCCAAGGCTGTCCCTGGCTGGAGTGTGGGACGGCTTCTGTCTTAAGGTGGTGAGAGCCCTGTCTATCCTGAGACGAATTCAAGGTCTCAAACTCGGTGTAGATTTCTGTGCGTGAGTGCCTGGGGCTGACCACATTCTGTGTCCCACAGTATCTCGAATTGTTTAGAACTCAGCAGTTCCCTGGTGTGAGGAGCAGGTACAGAAGAGGGTTAGCAGAGAAGTGATCGGGAGTCAATTATATGTATGTTATGCTTTCTGCTGGTGCCAGCTGGTGTATCGTCTTCCTTCTTTTCCTCTTGGTTATTTCTTCAGCACCATAAGAAAGGCTTTCTCCCAGATTTCAGTAAGTCCTTGACTCAAACTGTCGTCCTTTAAAACTGTCCCTGGAGGTAAGGGTTCAGAATGAATATCCATTCTCTTTCAGTACTGCTTTACATCATTGCTTGCCGAAAATATTTTGCTGCCTTTAACTACATGCCCTGCTTTAATGTTTAGCCTTTACTGAACTGTCCCTTTTCCTATCCTTGACCGCCTTCAGCGGTCAGTATACTCACCCTGACCCCTGACAAAGGACACTTTGTACCCATCTGAGGCAAAGACCAAGTGATGGCTTCACCAACCCTGTTTCTTTCCCTTCTGGGCAGATAGCTAAATCTCGTGACCCTGCCAACGTGCAGTTGGTGAACAGCAGGTGACTGAGCCTGGCCAATGGAATGTGCATGGAAGGTTGGTCAGCTGCTGCAAGGCTGGGCCCCTGAAACCCTTGATAGAATTTTCAGGGGACACTCTCTGATGATTTTCTGTGTGCCCCCTTTTCCCACCTGGCTATAGAGGCAGGGTTCTTTGGTAAAATTCCAGATGGGGAGCCACAGGATGGGAGGAGACGGTGGGTCCCGAATAACTGTGTAGGACAGAAATTTCTTCCTTCTAAGCAGGCTTCCCTGGACTGTGATGTGAGGAAGAAATCAATCCAAGTGAATGAAGCCACCGAAACATTCTGTGGCTACTTGTTACAGTAGTCAGCCTATCCTTTGCTTTAGAACTAACTTGGAACAAATGATACCCTGTCTCCTTCCCTTTCCCTTTTGGCGTTCATTCTCACTGTTAAGGTTGACTTTCCGTTGATACAGTTCCTGCAGTGTCTCAGCCTATTTACATCACCAGAAGTTAAAGAAACAACAATGCATGCGTGCCCATACTAGGAACTACCCATATCTCCTGCCTAGTTTTTCCTGTAGTTTTCCATTAGCCTCCATGTGACTCACTTACCCTACTCTTTAAATACCTTACCTGCCCTCTACTTTCTTCAGATCACAGAAATGCCAGGGACAACTCCTGACAGCTAAGCCCGAAGAGTCCTACAACCCCGCTTCCCCTTAATCTCTCTGCTTGCCCTGAACTTTCTATTTCTTCATTGCCCTCTTCCAAGTGTGGCATCCACACGTCCACATTTTCTGAGTTCTTTCCTACAGCTGGATGTTCTTATTAAAGTATCTTTAGTGGCTTCTTATCATTTTGCCATTAAAGACCTGTTACCAGGAGACCGGAGTCAGGAGGCTGCCTGCCTTGGTTCTCATCTTGCTTGCAAGAGGAAAATTCAAGTGCGAGACAACACGTTGAGTGAAAATGAGATCGCAGGTTTATTTATGAAACAAAGCTGCAAGCAGGCACCCGGCTCGTCTGAATGCCCCATGCATAGAGGAAAATAAAGTTGTTAGTAAGTTTGTTCTATACACGTGAGCACCTGGCTACAGTTGGGCACTCAGCTAATCCGAGTGCGCCGACCCTTGGGACTCCAGGAGTTACATACTTCAGTCAGCTTCTAGGTTCCCCCTCCTTCTCCCCTTTCTAGACCTTGGGAATAATGCACAGCTACAAAGGCTTTTTTTCTCAGCCAGTAAAGGCTCTTCTGTCTCAGTTAATGAAATTGCTACAGAGACTTCCTTTCCCACAGAGTTTCAAGGACTCCCTCCCTCCTCCACTATCTTGCTTGTGAACGTCGGAATGCCTGGCAACCTTATTAGACCGGGCTCAGGACTGCTGAATCAACGCATGATGCGTGTTTCCCTCGTCCTCCCTGCCTTAGCCGACCACCTGGCCTACCTAACAGACCTGTGGCTGTTCTGGGCAAAACCTGCAGCACTTGGATGAATGCATTTCCTTGGATGTGGATTATACAAAGGTGTCTCAGCCCAGTATTAATTGTCCCACTGTGTTCTGTTTAGACTTCAGGAGAGCACCCGCCTTTTGCGTGGGTCCACTTCCACATGACAGGGATGGCAGAGCTCTGGGCAATCCAGGGTCATGATCACACATGCCACTGGCTCTTCCGTCTGTACGAATGTCTTTCCCTGCCTTCCTCATCAACTTCAGCTCAAAATGTATAGCCCCTTCCACATGTCTGTCCCCTCACCCATTCTAATTGAGACCATCCTTTATGGTCCCCAAGTAGTGCCATATATATATATATATGGTCTTAAGATGTGTCAGATGTTCTACCTGCCA